TTGGGTTTTTGTGGGCTTCAGTGCTCAGTAACCTCAAAAGGCTGTGACTGTGGGAGAAGGAGTGAATTGATGAGAGCTGTCTTCATCTGTCCATCTGCCCCTGTCTCCGGTGGTCACTGGAGGACGAGGAGGATGGCGACACCTACGAGGCGCCGCCTTGTGAACGTCCCGCCATGAAGGTCCCGCAAAGAAATATGGAGGAGAACGTTTACCTGGGTGAGCGGAGATTGGTGGGGTGTCATGAAGGGTGGAACGTCTATTATCTAACCTAATATAAGAGGTTCTTGGCCTTTTTTTTTTCTTTGTAGTTACTCCAAGCCTGCTCCATAATGATGTCATAGTTGTCCATTCAGTGCCATACTGTAATCGGTGATGTCATATCGTCTCTGCTGTGATGTCACAGTTTAGTGTGTGATGTCATGGTTTTGTGCACAGCAGTATTGTTGTTCTAGGTGTAATGTTATGAAAGCTTTGTGTAAACAATTCTTCATGTAAACACTTTCATGAAGACAGTAATCTTTTTTTGTAATTACAGATATCTGTAACTGGAAAGCAAGGCTGATAAGTTCAGTAACAATCCATAATATATGTGTGTGGACAGTGGTCTGCAGTTGGCTGATATTGTTGTTCGGTGTTGCAGGGATTGGTGTGTGTGATGTCATTGTCCTGTAATGTTGTCTCTCCACAGAGAGGGCAGCAGCACCCAGCCCCTCCAGACAGGGCCCGCCCTCTAGACCTTCCAAGACAGTGCCAGGGAAAAGCAAGGTAACCCGTCTGCGTGCCTGACAGACAGGTCGTGTGTTCATAAGCTTGTTCAGGAGCCTGTCTGTGTACCAGTCCGAGCTGGAGAAAAAGACTCCCACCTCAGCCCGCATGCTGTTGTACACATTGTCCTGAGAAATAAGACGCAAATACAAGGGCCTTATCAGCAGTCACAGTGTTTGTGCATAATCTAGTGAGGTGATCCAGGGGGAACAGTTCAGCCCATGTACCGCTACACAGTGGGCTTTCCGTTTCCCTCCTGGCGTGGGAGTGAAGCTGCCTGTTCCTCTGTGTGCTCCTGTGTGTGTGGCCTGTGTCCCCCGCACACTGTGACAGGGCCTGTGTGTGTCCTCTTTCAGAAGCCCGAGCTGCAGGACAAGTCCGAGGACACCTACATCGACCCCAATGCCAAAACGCGTAAGGGCTTCTCTAGCACTTCAGCCATCCAATCCAAGAGTCCTGAGGGCTAAACTCCTGATTTAACACGTACCAAGTAGTGTGCTTGCCAAACAAGCGCATCCAAACTCATCCGATTAACTTAGCTTTTTCAATCTCCTATTAGCCAGGGGGGGTTTCTTTATCTTGTAAAAAGGACTAATTAGCAAGAACCACTAATTTATTTTAAAAGGCCCTGCTTCTAGCCTCAGCCCTAAGACTGCCGAATATCTTTAGTTATTGCTGGTGACAGTCTAAATGCCACAACCCAGAAAACATCTCACAACCTTAAATCAAATGGTTAAACAAACAACCGGAAGGAGGTGAAGGTTTAAAAATGTTGGAAAAAAGATTGAAACGTCTTGTAGCGGTGAGAAGGGGAGAGGTTGGTGTGAAGTATTGACAGTCCTCTTTCTCTGCTGCTACAGCCCCCCAGGTGAACCGTAAGGAGAAGCCGGGAAAGAAGGTGCCCCCAAGACCTGTCTCTGTCCCACAGGCTGATGAAGGTAAAGTGATGATAGACGGAGGTTCTGTACAGG